GCAAGCCAAACATATGAACCGATCAGTACTGGTCAAGAAGTTAGATTTTCCTAGTGAAACAGGAATACGACATACAGAAAAAGAACTTTTACTGGAATGATGTGAAGAATTGTCAACAAATAATTTGGCTGCCCTTGGGCTAGGACACGATCTGCTAAGCAAGGTCATTATGGACTTGTTGCACAGTCAAGTTGGATAACAAACTGTCCCAAAATCAGGCATTAGTTTTGTGCATAAAGTCAAAATTTACTCACGCCTTGAGGGCTAAATCCACGGCAAGTGTTGCTGGTGGCAGGAGGAGAAGGCAGAGCCAAAAAGTAGGGCATCCCAGCACAGCAGAGTCCTATAGGCCGGTCAGAGAAAACAAATTGTAGTCAGTGACGCAGGATGCGCCAAGGAAAGCTTAGACAATTTATCCCGGACATGAAAATTCACAACGATCCGCGACTGGCGAGAGCGTGATACCAGAGTTTCCAACGTCTTCAAAAGAATGATATTCAGATAAAACAAGTTATGCTGGAAAATGACACGCCACAGGAAAAGATCATCTGTAAGCATTTAAAAAGCTGGTATATTCTTCCCCCTCGGGGTGTAATGCAGAGGAGATTGGAAGTAACTAGAATAATTCATAAAGGTAATGCAACCTGACTGCTTGCACACCAAACTCATTGTTCTTTCTAGGCCGTACAACGAAGGGTATAGGTCTTAGGGATGGCTGCGGCCTGTAAGAATCTTCTCTCTGTTGGCCAATTGGCAGTGTCAGTTTTGGCAGACGGAAATCGGTGTGAGCTGAGCTTTGCAACTTGGGAAAGACTATTGGGCTGTGTTTGGTTATTTCGTGTTCTTTTACAAGTTTGGACAGTGCTTTTCCACCTTGACAAGATAGGTTTAATCACTGGCGTCGTGGAATGGTGGTCTATCGAAATTGGGTGGACCTCCTCGCCGTCACCTGCGACAACTTCGGCCTGGTCATCAGTACGGAGAAAACAGTGGTCATGCATTAATCACCACCGGATGCTGCCTACATCGCATCCCAAATCAACGTGAACGGTGCCCAAATGAAGTCGAGGACAACTTCGCCCGCACCACCAAGATCGACGCTGAAGTGGCCCGCCGGATTTCCAAAGCCAGCCAAGTCTTCGGATGTCTACGAAACACAGTCTGGAATCGCCACGGTCTCCGCCTCAACATCAAACTGAAGATGGAAAACGCCGTCATCTTGTCGACGCTACTGTATGGAGCAGGGGCCTCGATGGTGTACAAAAAGCAGGCGCGGCGACTCAATCATTTCCACCTCAGCTGTCCTCTATGGATATTGAAGCTGTGGCCACCTCGCAACGCCAACGTTTAACCAGTCCCGGTCTGCCCATGCTGCCGGCGGAGGTTCCGCGCACCAGTAGCCTTGTGGGACATCTTCGTACTAACTGCAGCACCAGCAGCGACACCACCACCACCACCTCCCCTCCATTTCCGCTACGGCGACTCATGCGTCCACCACCAACGAACACAATCCTGAGACAACAACAAACATCGACCCCCGCCCCCCCCCACCAAGAACCCCAGAGATGTGGGCTCTATCCATATCTGTCCTCATTGTGACCGCACCTTCACCTCACACATCAGCCTTGTCGGTCACTTGCGAATCCATCGCATTGGCGAACCAGTGCCCGAAGCACGAAAGTACACCAGACGCATCCGCCTAAACTGCCATCACCTCCCCCGCACATCCATTCACAGCATGGACCTTATAGGTCCCATGCGCAGGCACGAAGACCTGCGGTGGACAACCGCCGGCTACGCCACACCATCACATCTTTCTTCACCTTCATCACGCAACATCATCTTCCACCACAAGCATCCAACTGCCACCTCCCACGCAAGTGGAAAGTGTGTGTCTGGGCTCCGTCTCCTTGCGGCCCCTCTGCTGCATGTGCGACTCGAATCCGAGACTTTCACGGTGCGCAAAGCGCCGTGGCTTGGAAGGCTGTCGACTGACGCCCCAATTCAGTCCACAAATTCAGCCCAGTTGTGTGTGTTTGTGTGGAGTGGCGGACTGGTGGGCTGAGAACCAGGCTAAAGAGGTTTCATCCCAACGTGAAATGCGCCAGTCACGCATGTGAGATTTAAGCCGACAAACTCCCCGTTGTGTGAAATCCTGGTGCTTGTGTTAGGGGAGCCAGGTCCTGTATGTGGCGCACGCAGACAAGGCCACTAGATGTGTCAGCCACCGCGTCCATTCCCCGCACCTGCCAACTGATAGGCTCGGACAGTGACCGAGGCCTGGGAATGGGAAGGGAAAGCGATGTCGACGGCTCAGCGCATTTTCCTCGCCATAAAACATCTACGGCGCTTGAAGTTATCACTGTGCGCTAAAAGCCGTAATTTGGAATGTTGCTAACTGACGGGATAACTTGGACCTCGCAGTCGGCCCAGTGCTGTGTGTTTGTGTGGGGTGGCCGGTTGGTGGTATAAGAGTCAGTCGCAATGACTCCTTGTCAATGTGGCCTCTATGGCACTCCCACTCCATGAGATCCGAGACAGGTGTGGCGGCACGCCTAGGTACGGCTCCGGCCGTGCCACCCCCCATTGTTGTTGTTAATCAAAAACCTGGTTATTTGTTGCGTGGATCAGAAAGTGTGGAGTGAAACGCCACGGCGTGGAATCGATGGTGCAATCCACCTGCGCCCTGCCCCGCCTCTGGTCTTCTTGACTCCGTCTTGACACCGGGTCCATGTGTGGGATGGGGAGAGTGCGGTAGGTGCTGCGCAAGTCTACTATCACTCTAAACTAAATCGTGCGCAAGTCACCGTCTCTGCTCTTTCTTTCTGTGGGACACAAGTTGGATATCGTCGGAAACGACGGTCGAACTGTCGGGTTGACCTGGCGTAACAGGCTCACAACAGCATTTAATAAGTCCATTCCACCCTTTTGGAAATACTCGAGTTTAAAATCAACAAATTTAGCGGACCGTTAAGTATCAATTCGGCCATAGGTTTACGTCACTTAAGTACGCAAGTTCGTTTTCGAGTGGTCACAACGGTTCGGCTGTCGATTTCAACGATGTTCGCCGTGTGCTCCACAGCAGAGTGCCAGCAGGCACGGTGACTTGCGCGTGATTTCTTTTATGAGTTTAGTAGACTTGCGCATCACCTACCACACTCTCTCTTCCTCTTCCACCTAGATCCGCTCTCATGGCCAGGTCAAGAAGACGGGGAGCAGGAGAGGCGGCAGGTGGCTGGCATGTGAAAAGCCACACCCAGACGTACCACCACACCCCCGGTCCACAAAAAGCACTTGGCCAACAACAATAACAGGAATCCCCGTTGGCGCAGCGTGAGTCTGCAACTGGGCCAGCCCCCACGCCCTGAATGTTGGCATTTGTTATGTGCTCGCATTCCCGTAACGTTGTCGGAACCCGATTCAGCTTCTGTGTTGGCTCAGCGGATCTACGGCGTGGCCCGTTTTAAGATCAATTTAGTGTTGATATTCCTTGTAACTAAGCGGGGGACGTCGGACTTCCTCCAAAGCATTTCACATATGCGTCACAAAACTGGCGGCGTTAAGACAGCCAGCTCACGGGCTATCCGACTTTTCGGGCGTCTAAAGGTTGTGCTACGCCATGAAAGACCTTTTAAACAGACACTTAACGCTTTCAACGTGTGAATAAACGGGCGTCACCTCAACTCGTTCAAGAATTCCTTCAAAAAGCTATGAACATTGTCATCAAGAACTCACCAGTCCCACCATGTCAGAGGCCACGGGTAACGTTGGGTAAACATGTGAATATACCGCAAGGAAGAGGAACCAGAGGGCAATACTGCCCCAAACTGCAAGGTGAGAGAAGACAGTCCAGGCAGTATACTGCAGACCAGCTTTTAGGCAGACTATTACGACGACGTACTGGAGGAAATAGAAGAAACGGATGGTAATCAGCGGAACAAGAAGCAGCCAGATTACGAATGGGGGCGAATGGCATGCTTAACATACCGTGTACACCGCATTGTCCAGGACTAGAAGACTGCCAGTTCGGCCATTGGGATAAACAACTTCTGGAAGAAATAGCAAAACGATAAACGAAGGCGGAAACTAACACGGCAGAGGGAAAGGGAATGTGATCTAAAAACTAAAGAGAGGGGATGGGCAGCG